GCAAGCGGGATGCGGTGGGCAGAGGGGGAGACCTGGATCCGAGGTGAGGTTTCGGATGTAGATAGGCGGCAGCCCAGAAGCCATCGTCTCGCATCATGAAATTGTTTACTTTGCCATTATATTTCACCGCCCACCCGCTCCCCTCCGGCAGCAAAGAGAAAACAGGAAAAACAAAAACAAAAACAGAAACAGAAACCAGAGGCGGCTGCCGAAGCCCTCAATCCCCTTTTTTCACCATCGCCATCGTCATCGTCATCGGCTTCATCGAATCCTGGCCAATATTGCATTTTTTTCTCCTATAAGAGCTATTCTTCCCCGTTCGCCCCACGAATCTTCATTTTGTGCCTTTTTGAATTCATTTTTGCTCCTTTTTTCATGCTGGCTGGCTGGCTGGCCTCTCCATATCGGCTGTGTCCATCGACTTGTTTCCCGATCCTTGGGTTGTTCGTGTTTTAAAATTCAGACTGCATGACGGAAAGTGGAAAAATAAATGGACGTGGGGACAGGATTGTGCTGCTTTTTTAAACGCTCCACAGCCCCGGAAGCTTTAAGATTCTTTATTAAATTTAAAAGTATTTTATCACTTCATTTTTCTCCATAACTTCTCCGGAGTTCGTCGTCCCTCTTGGTTTCTATTTTTAATGCAATTCGTCGCGCCTGATTTGGTAATTTTGATTGCATTTTTCACTCCGCGTTGTGGTCGTTCCCCTCCGTTCGGGATCGCTCAATGCCTTCAGATGTATGCTAATTTTCGGATAAAATATACAAATCCATAGACGGCTGCGAGGCCAAAGTTTACTCTTCCACTTCTGATATGCTTGAAATATTAATACAAAACTTAACACCTATTTCTGCGGCCGCCCGACCTTAGTCTCCGCTCACACAAATTGCTCGCGTTGGACTTGTTAACATTTTAATTACATAATTAGTTGCGATATTAGCAAAATAAAAACAGAATGGATGGGACGGGGAAACAAAGTAAGCGACTCGCCGCAAAGGTCAGAATATTAATGGTTCGTGTGACGGGGGTTGACTCTAAAGTTACCTGAATAAAGGTTTAGTGATGGTTCAAGCCCAGGAGCCTACAAAATGAGTATGCTGATTCAAAATGTTCCTACATATGCTCCTATATCTTGATGATGCTCGACTTCTAGAATCGCAAGGGAATCTGCTCCATTTTTGTGCTCGCAACTCCCTTTTTCATTTTAGAAGGGGAGGAACCATTTCCATTTCATTTCAGCCATTTGTTTGGTTTTTCTCTCCCCAACTGCTGCATTTCCATTTGATTTTTGCATAAGATTTGCCAGCAAAAGGAGAAGTGCCCACAGAAAGCATGCTTTGCCCAAGAAGCTGCTGCTTCTGGCTGCAAGAAAAAAGATTGCAATTGAGCGACGGTGGCTGCTGGTTTGGATTTTCATTTCTTTCTGGCTCTGGCTTTAACATTTTAGTCACGTTTTCGACTTGGATGAAGTGGGGATTGGGGCGCTGGGGGAGTGGCAGGGCAAGGGGGCGTAACCAACATGGCGCAGCAAGTGCTTTGGCAAAAAGCTGAAGCTGATTTTTATTATTTCCCATTTTTTTCGTTGCCTGTTGGATTTTAAAAAGTTTTTTCGCTTATTTTTTAGCCTCTGCGCTGATGTCGAACGAATTTTTCACAGTTTGTGGCTCGGACGACAATGGTCAAAAGTTTGGTTGCCATTTCTGCTGTCTGCTGTGGCTGTTGTTGCTTCTGTTTCGTTGTGGTTGCTTCTGTGGCCTATGGGTACAGTGGGTGTGAGTCTGGTTTTCAGGGAATGTATTGTTGGGAGAGTTCCACTGTATTCCTCCTGATGACGGTCAAGCAGCAGCAGCTGGCCAACAGAGTTCAGTTTATTTGTTATTTTTTTCCAGGCTCTCCCCTTATTTTATACACATTTTTTGGGCTGGTCTGTTGGGTGTTGCCAGGAACGGCCCATCGACCCGTGAGGAAGCTGCTCCTGCTGGTGCTTCGGTTGCTTCGGCTGCTTGCATTATAAATGCAGTTAGTCTGCCGGATTGCGGAGAAGCTGGAACACAATTATATAGCCTTGGAGTCTTGAGGTCTTGGAGTGCGAGCGCGGAAAATGTTGTGCAAAATGCTTTTTACGTGCCTTGGCTGCAACTTTGCACTTTTCTCTCCGCCTGGGCACTTTTCTGCGGTCAATGCCTGGGAAAGTGCTGGGGGAATTGGAGAAGCGAGAAGAACTGGAGGGAAGCCAGATCTGAGACAAGAGAGACCCAGAGAGAGAGACAGTGCCTAGAGCCGCCGAGAGACCTTCGCTCCAGTAGCGGGCAATTTTTCACATCGTTACATAAATTTCAGCGAAAAATAAATGGCCAACGGTAGCCAAAAGTGCACTCAACAATATTTAAATTGCGACACTTAAGCGGCAGCAACAACACCACAAACACCAACAGCAACAACGTTGTCGGCGTCTGCAAACAACAATTTGTCGCTTTTTAAAAACGCGCCAGAAGGCACGAAAAATAAAGTCGGGATCCACCAAGGTGCCGGACGCAGTGGACGCATGGTCACGGCGGACACGCGGACAGACGGACAACAAAGTACAAAAAAGGGAAAAATAATAAAATATATGAAAACGCAGATGAGGCAGAGAGTGAGAGCCGAAGAAGCAGTAAGGACATTGAATTAAATTCTATAACCTCTTTCCAAGCCAAAACCATTAATGTTGATAACTGAAAAGTTATAGTGTTATCCCAATGGATCTAAACCTCTTACAGAAAGCACATTAGTTCGACTTTGCAACGCTTTTGTGCAGTTCATTGAGCTTTGAAGCAACCTGAAGTCTCTGTCCGAGCCCCGCCCTCGTGCCCCATCCCCGCCAGCTCCTCCTCGCCCAAGCCTCGCTCCTTTCGTTCCGATCCGTTCCGTTCCGTCTATAAACGTCTATAGCCTTCATTAAAAATTGTCTGCAGCGGCATGAAATGATTGATAACATCCGTCAATTTTGACATATGCGGCAAGGTCTGGACTCGAGACTTGCAACTTGCCAATTGTGATGATGTTGCTGCTGTCTGTGGATGTTGGTGTTGTTGCTTCTGGTAGGTAGGATGTTCGTTATAATTCTTGCCTCTTCTTCGGGTTCCTTTTCCGTTCCTTCTTTTTGTTGTGTGCCTTGTGTTCTGTTGGCGAAAATGAGTCAATTCGTCAATCAATCAGTGTGTCAGTCGCTCATTTATAATGGCCAAGCATTGCTGTCGTTGCTGCCTCTTCGGGCTCGGTTCATTCATTCATCGGCCCGGTTCCGTATCAGTTTGCTCGAGGCAGTGGCTACTGTCCGTGGTACGGGGCGTATGAGCAACAAAACGAAAAAAACAAAAAACCCTGATGGTTGGGGGCAGACAAGACCCCTAAGCTTTATTAATGTGGGTCATTTGAAGAGGCGGTCCTTCAGGAGGGAGGACGAGGCTGACTAAGAGCTCGTGTTTATACGTTTTATTTGTTAAATATATTTTAATATTATTCGTATGGCATAATCGCATTTTTCGTTTGCTCTTCGCTCGCATATCTTACTCCCACTTCCTCTTCCCAAGCAGGCCGCCATCCTCCTCTCAGATCTCCTTCCTTAGCACCTCCACTCCCATCGTCTTCCGTTGCCCGCCTCCTCCTCGGCAGAATGTTTTAAAACTTTTTGAATGAAAATAAATTTTCACACACAACTTTGCTTTTTATTCAAACTCCTCTGCCTCTGCTGCCTTCTTTTTCGGTTTTCTGCATTGTTTCTCTGTTTTTTTTTGTTCTCTTGTTTCTTGAGGTCTTGTGTTTATATATTTTTACCCGGTCACGCCCCCCAAAACAAGCCCCACCTGCAAATGTTTCCCAAAACGGAGCTAAAGTTTCTTCTTTGAGAATTTGCTTGCTATACCCTTGTAGTGGGTACTTTAACTTGCCCCAGAAGCACATCTTTAATGGACGCGCACTCCGAAAGTAGCTCTAAGAACTTGGAAGTCCACTACAACTCTTATGTGACCAAGTTCCTAAATGAGATATGTCGTAAGAAACAGCAAGGTATTCGGAAGGGATTCCGGCATTTCATTCGTGAGTTTTTCAGTTTTTAGTATTTTTCGTTTCCCTCTTCTGCGGTTATTGCCTTTTGCAACTCCATTGACTGATTGACTGCAAAAGGAGGCAGCCTGTTCTGGTCCTTATGCAGCACCCGCTCCAGCTCCCCGCGCCGTTGTCTCTCTCTATCTTTTTAAGGCTCAAGTTTCTCAGGCCTCGAGCACCATTTTGGCCTGGCCTCTATCATTATTCGGTTGCACTTCCCTCGATTGGGCTTATTCACACAGGGATTCGCCCGCGATTGTGCTGGTGTGTGTGTGTGTGGGGATATTATATATGGTGCCACGCCTTCAACACCGCCTTTTGTGGCAGAACTAACAAGGTGGAAGATCCCTGGAGAAGATCTTTGCACAGCGAAAAAATCGGGTACTGTCCAGGTACTGTGCAGAACTATATTCGAAAGGTACTGCAAATAGTGCTTAAAGTGGGGAGTTACCTACTTTTTTGAGGGATTAGATGACTGGATGAGAAGCCTCGGGCAGTTGCAAATTTGTCTAACTCAAAATGCAAAGTGCAAATTGTATATCCCCAAATGTTTGCACCCGTGCAAGGCCACGCACCTGGGAATTGCTCATTTGCAGGTGTGCTACCTGCAGGGGGCGAGTGTGTGTATGATGTGTGCCCCACATACACGTGCAAACTTAATGAGGCAACCAGAGCGAGGTGCTAATTTGCGCCTCGAAGGATTTTCCGACGCACAGTTGAGTGCTCCCTCCCTTTCCCCGTTCCCGTCTCCGTCTCCTGGCCATTTGCGCTCTCCCACTTGTTTTCCGCTTGAATTGGTCAGCACTCCGCCCTTATCAATTAAAAGGTCACTTGGGGTCATGCCATAAAATAGGGTGGAGGAACTACAAACAAGTGAATTATTTAAAAAATGTATTTTATCTATCATTTGCAGGTCGCAGTGAACCGCCCGTTGGCGTGGGCGATCCCTGCGCCGGCTGCAACAAACCGATCCTCGACAAGTTCCTGCTGAACGTCCTGGAACGCGCCTGGCACGCATCCTGCGTGCGCTGCTGTGAATGTCTCCAACCGCTCACTGACAAATGCTTCAGCCGCGAGTCGAAGCTCTACTGTCGCAACGATTTCTTCAGGTGAGTTTTAAATTGGAAGGTACAATCTAAATGTTCCCAATGGACATCTTTCTGTCTTCCGGAAATCAGAATCGAGGCAATTATGCCAAGCTTTCAATAGTGCCTTTGACTCTTTGGCTTTTGTTTTTCTGGCGTCCGTCGTTTATTGTCCGCTGTCTGCTGTCCACTGTCCGTGCGTTCCGTTTGATTTCTCACTGCCACCTCAAGTTAAGGGCTCAGCTAATTGAAAAAAGCGACGGACTGAATGAAAAACGGATCAATGGGATGAAAGCGTTGGAGAGAGCTCCGGCCGGACAGGCGAAAGCAATTAACATGCAAAATACCAGGGCTAAATCAAAACGAAATCAAATCCGGCCACACACAGTTAGCTCCTTGATTTGCCAAAGGGAAGGTGCAAAAATCATCGGTTCTTGAGTGGCGTCCTTCCGAGGTCCTGGCTATCAATCAGCGCCAGCTGGATGGGTTGACAAAAGCTATTCATAGGGCGGGTGATGAAGAGTCCTGTTCTGTTCAAGGCACTGGCCGAATAAATATGAAATATTGACGACTAACCTCTTCTTTTACCTCTCAAGGCGTTACGGCACCAAGTGCAGTGGCTGCGGCCAGGGCATCGCGCCGTCGGACCTCGTGCGGAAGCCCAGGGACAAGGTCTTCCACCTGAACTGCTTCACCTGCTGCATCTGTCGCAAGCAGCTCAGCACAGGGGAGCAGCTGTACGTGCTGGACGACAATAAGTTCATCTGCAAAGACGACTATCTGTTGGGCAAGGCGCCGTCCTGCGGCCACAACTCTCTGAGCGGTAAGTGTTATTAGGTCTCTTTTTAAGAAAAATGAGGAAATAATCGGCAGAAAAGAATCAATTCAATGTAGACCGTATAGCCCCTGAAATGCTAGACTTTCAGTTTCGGTAGGCCAGCCCCTCAGTCTGTACAAGTTTGTGGTCTAATCGGGGCTCCATAAATCTTCCTAACTGGCCTCCAACTGGGACTCATCTTTGCTAATGATGTCCTCCGCTCGGCACTTCACTTGGGTGGCCTGAACACTCATATCTCCGATTCCATCGCCAATAAATACAAAATTACGCATACGACCCGTGGTACGTGCGCTTTTGGGTGTATTTAGACGCAATTTGTGCAACGTTTTTGCCAAAATATTTTAATTTCTGGCGCAGCTTGTCTATTTGTTTGCACTAATTGTTTATCGTTTGGCATAGAAATATTTGTCATTCAAATTACCGTGGGAATAAAAGAAAATGTTGCCGGCATTGTTTTACCTTTTGTTGATGCTGTGATGATGTCGATGCGATGTTGTTGCTGTTGATTGTTGATTTTTCGGAATCGGGATCGGGAGCACTTTTTTGACTACACAAAGCGTATACATATATTTTTTTTGTTTTAAAGCCGGGCCCCCACGGCTCCCGAGCCGTGCAACCGGACGGTGCGGGCTCTGTTTTCTTTGGTAATCCCACAAAATATTGCCCACACACACTCCCCATGTTGCTGTGGCGGCTGGCTTTCTCTTGCAGCAGCAAAAGTCACGGACTAAATGCTCGGCAAATATTGACACAAATCGCATAAATAAAACAAAGTCATGCATAAAACAACAGGACGCAAGTGCCGAACAAGGAGGGCGAGGGCGGGGCAGGAACTTCTCGAGATGAACATTACTTTCAAATTCTTTTTTAAAAGGCTCGAGTTGCCAAACAACAGTGTCCTTAAAGCCATTTGCGACAATTTCGCTCGCAAGGGAGGGGCATCAACTGAAAACGCATTAAAGCCAGAAGTCGCTGCAAAGTGCAGACCACCCCCACACCCTTCTGGCCATGGAGGTCTCTTTGTTTACCCCTTTCCCTCGTCGGGCAAAGTTTTACAGTCGGAGGACGGAGGGCGCAGGACGTGGTGAGCTGAGCACGTGTGTGGGTTAAGCCTTAAAGTTGTGTCGGGCCGGGCTGTATAATTACTCGACGTTGCCGACCAAAAACGGCAATCGAATTAAAGTTTTAAAGGCAAGTCTACGAATTAAACGCGCTGGCGGAAAAAACTCATGCATGGAACATGGCCACGTTGATATCAGATTATCCAAAAGCGGGTTTTTATGATTTTCACGCTTCACTAAAGCCCATACATGGAGACTCTTGATGGCTTTAGCTCTTTCCCATGGAATATATTTCAACTGAAATGTATATTTATTCTTTCCGGCAGTTTTTAGGACTTTAAAAGTTGAAATTTCTCTGCGTCTCCGTTTCTGTGTTTTTGTGTTTCCTCCTCCAAGCGAACAGACATTTCTCCTTGGCTGTCACACGCAGCAACGCCTTCGACTTCGACTTTGGCTTCCAGCCACCTTCCTTCCATGTCCATGTCCTTTTCCATAATTTTTTTTTACAAAATATATAAAATAAAAACATCAACAAACTGGCGGAGGAACTGAAATATTTTCGCTGCTGCTGGCAAAATATTTTCGTAGCATACTTAACGGCGTTAAATATTTCAACGCTGCCATTTTTCCTAGACCCCCTCCTAGCCTCTCTTCCGCCTCTGTCAGAGAAGTGGGGGCGAGCAGAGTCTCTCTCGGCAGCGAATGAGAGCGGGACTCTGCGCTCTCTCGCCCGGCCAGCACCTGCGCAGTGGCGCCCGAGCATCGAAGGAGCGAGGGAGACAAAGTTAGACAGAGAGGCTCGGCGGCGGCGCTGCCGACGTCAGCGCAGGCAGAACAAAATGGCTGCGAGCCCCAAAAAGTAGGCAAGTCTCTCCCCCCACTTCTCGGGCCGGAATCCTGCCCTCCCCGTCCTGCCTGTGCGAATAATGCAATAATAATTCCTTGTCGGCTTCAAAAAATGCCTTAATATTTTGCCAACTACACAAAAAAGGATGGAATAAGGCGCTAAAACGAGAAACTAGGACTTGGTTTATTGGGGGAAACGGGAATTCTCGACCGCCGCTGCCCCGACCGCTGCAGCGATGCCGGCTGCTCTGCAGCACCGCAGCGACGGTCGGCAGCGACGCCGAGGCGAGCCGAGCGCAGGTCATTAATGTTTTGATTTTAATTGCGTTAATTACGTGCAACGGATTTTTCATTTGGCCAAAATGAAAGACTGTTTTTCGTTTGAGAAAGTGCTAGTATCAAGTATCAAGCATACGCCGCGTGGTCCGGCGGCGGCGGCCGCTACAAAGGAAGCCCAGCTCGGAGAACGGTGTTAAAAAAGGCACCATAAAAATTATTATGAAAAATAGCTCCCGAGAAACAGCAAACAGCATTTTTAAAAGGAAACACACACGTCTTGCTGCTGTTGTTGTCGTTGTTTGTGTGGCTGATACTGCTATACTGCTGATACTGGCCCTTCAGTGGTTGTGCTTCCGATTTTTTTGTTGTTTTTTGTCACCGCTCTCGACGCGTCAATTTATGGCTTGTCATATAAATTAAACTGTTTGCTGTGCGATAAACAACAACAATGAATGGGCCGGCGTAGCTGAGGTAATAAATCAGCCGAGGAATAAAAAACAAGGAAGCGACGAATACAATGTGCAATCAAGTAAACCATTCCCGATAAGGCTCGGCCGAGTGTACGAAGAGTTAGTAACACGTATTCAAATATTGCATAAATACTTTGGCCGGAATCTTTAGGCCCCAGCGGAAGGCTAAAACCTGGATCATCGACAGCGACTAGCGGGTGCGTCTGGTGCGAGTCGGTGCGAGTGTGTGTAATGACCCTTAAACGACCTTAACTTGGACTTTGGCTCTTGTTTTTGAGGGATTCTGTTGTTATTTTTATGATGCCCGAAAAACACAATTTTTATGAACCCACACAAAGGCCACCTCCCCTGCCCCCGCCCACGCGCTGCTTCCTGCTTTATTGCCCTTTTCTGCCTGTGTCCTGTTGCCTACTTCGTGTGCTTTGTTTGGCCAAAAAGGGTCAAGCCCATATGGCCAGAAGTCTCTCCTTTGCAAGATAACCAGATGGTGTCCTTATTTGTCTTCCGCCTGCCTTTTAAAGCCAGTTGCTTTTTGGAAATGCAAACTTTCCGTCTTCCGCTGGAGAACCATTTAAAGTGATTTAAATTTCGAGGCCTGTTCTAACCCACTCCCCACGCCGTTAATCCCTTTAAGGACTATCCCTAGTCCGCGTGTCCTCCGCCCGCCCCCAGGCGTGCTCAACCACATGAAATATACCGCAGATTTACGGTTGTCATTTTGTCGGCTGGTCACGTAATATAGTACTCTTATTCTTGATGGGAATGGCCAGGGGCAGGAACAGGGGCAGGGGTGGGGGCATGGGTTCCAGCTACGCCCTTGGCCCCTGAACCCGCCCCGTCTCGGCCCGCCCTCGGCTTCCTTGCGGCTGCCACTTGGCTCTAGGATCTGCCTTTTTTATTTGCACTTTCGGTTTGTGCAGCGGTGGCAGTTTCAGTTCGTGTACAGAGCCACACATATGTACACTCCGGTATATACACATTCCCTGGTTTATGTACGGACTCTAGAGGTTTTTTCTTTTTTTTTTTTTTTCAAGCTTGCAGCTTGAAAAGTTTATGGCTTTGGCTGCTGCGGCTGTGGCTGCGGCTGCCTGTGGTCCAAACAAAAAGGGAAAAATAAAATAAAATAAAAACCAAAGAAAAAATAAAACCGTTAAAGTTTATTTGACATTTACTTGGGCTATTTTTTATTTTTATGACTCTCCGGGCTGCTTTTTTCTCTTCTGCTTTTTATATACACGGACTGACCACAATGCTGCCAATGCCCATCCCCCCTGCCCTTGCCCCTGCCCCTGCCACGCCCCTCGGCCGCCCTCTGCTCGTTTTCTCGCCCGCTCTTCGGGGATAATAAATTTGCGGCTATTTTGGGGCCACGAATTTAATACTTTACCGATGTGCGATAAAAAAATATAAAGAAAAACTCGACCGAACCGAACTGAAACTGGAACTTGCCACGCCTCCCGCCCTGGTATGCCTAGTACGGCCTCTAACGCCCTTTCGGCACATTCGTAAATCATTTGGCCAAGTGCGTGTGTAGTCTGGATGGCTGGATGGCTAGGCAACTATTTTCCATAAAACGCGCTTTGATTTGTGGCGTTCGAGGGCCAAAAAGCGGAAATATGCAAGGTTGTGAGGTAGCGGAAGTGTCGCCATTTTAGCGGGAAGTGGAAGAAGAGGAGAGTGGCGGGAGAGTTCATAAATCAAGTCAGTAATAATACGGGGAATTAATGGGGACTGAGATGTGTTTCCCACTCTAATGTTTTCCAATATAATCAGACTCTGATGTGATTCCTTTATCGATTCTTTGTTTGCTCAAAATTTAAACTTGAACCTGTCTCGCCTGACCTACTCCTCCCCCATTCCCTCCCTCTAACCTTTTGGCCCATAACTCTTCCTCTAGCCACACACTCACTTGTCGCCGTGGGCTCGGTGTTCGGTGTTCGGTGTTTGTTGTTACTGTTCATTGTTTATTGTTTATTGTTTATGGGGCATTTGTTGAACGACTTGCGCGCCTTAATGACAAAACTCGTAAGGCCCGAAATAAAACGAAAGCGAGCCCGGCCAGGAAAAAAGTCTGAAAAGGTCTCCGCTCCTCTCATTTTAATGTCTAACTAAAACGACTAAACGGACGGGGCCAGGACAGTGGAGAAGGGGGCACGGGGTCGAGGGTTAAGGGGCAGGCATTTGATGATGTGTCGGGGCAAATTACGAGAGGCGTTAAAACTAGAGCAAAGTCTTTTGACTTGAGTAAACTTTAGTGCCGAAAGCGGACTCGTAACTTGTCCCATAAATCTTCAATCAAAAATTGAGTGTCTCCCGGGGGCGTGGCTGG